TTGCTCTAAATAGTTTGGGGTTGGCCCGGTTCCCAGACTGCACTTGGGGCACTGGGCTTTATGCTCTCGACATTCAGTGCATTTGGTGGGTACCGGGTCCCTGGCCTGCACTGTCAGGGGACATGCACTTCCTAACTGCACTGGGGTACGGGCTCCTCCTCCTTAACTGAGACTTGAACAGTGCATTCTCCGCTTGCTCTGGGGGCCGTGCACCCTGCTTTCCCAGCCTGCATCCCTACTCCACATTGAATCCAGCTAATGTCTTCTCTACTCTCCGGGGTCCCCTGGACCCTATGTCCCCCATAGTGTGCCTGGGTCTGATATTATAGTGCTTGGCCAGGTGGGTGCAGAGTTGGACGTGTGATAAGAGTCTGTGCCCCCCGCCTCCCCCAGTATAGAGCAAATGCTGGCAGCCAACCCGGGCAAGACCCCGATCAGCCTTCTGCAGGAGTATGGGACCAGAATAGGGAAGACGCCCGTGTACGACCTCCTCAAAGCCGAGGGCCAAGCCCACCAGCCTAATTTCACCTTCCGGGTCACCGTTGGCGACACCAGCTGCACTGGTGAGGAAGGCTTGGGCATCCTGGCTGGGGTGTGCATTCCCAGGGCCCTGTTGGCTTTGTTTCTTGGAGTCTCTTCCCAGTCCTTTTCTCCAAAGCCAGTGAGGGAAGGAGAGATTTCAGGGGAAAAGCCACTGACTGGTTTGGGAAAATGGGTCTTTGAGGAGGTGGGTAGGGCTTGGGAGAGTTAGAGGAGCACGCAGGACTGGCACAGTGATCTGGCAGATTGTCATGATCCTAGAGGAGAAAGAGGAGATAAACCAAATTCTCAGTGAAGTATTTGGGGGGAGTCAGTACCTGCTGCACTGGGCTCTGTGCCAGGTGCTTGACCGAATTCCTAGTTAATCTTAAACCACAGTCTGATCCTGCGATAGAAGTGGTAGTATTCTCAAGTTGAACAGGAGGGAAGTGAGACTCAGAGGGGTTTCAGTGAGTGGTGTAAGGTCACATGTCTAGTGAGTGGCAGAGCCAGGCCTTGACTCTAGAGCCTACCCTCTTTCTGCTTTTCCAGCCATCTCTATTTATTGAGAGAAAAGAAGGTGCTTCCCAGAGGAAAGTAAAGCAGAGAAAGAATCTCCACCCAAGGTGTCTGAGCTCAGGGGCTTCCGCCCGACACGGCTTGATTTGGGGAGCTCTGGGGAAGATAAAAGCCCTCCCTTCTAGCAACTAGTGTAACATTTCCAGTCTTGGGCAGGGGCAGTTGGTGAGAGGGGCTTGGTTGACTCCCTCCAGCTATGAGGAGAGAAGCTGTGGGATGCTGGTTTTTCTTCTGTCCTCCCAGTGACCTCCAGTATTGCCCACGCCCCTCTCTCAGGTCAGGGCCCCAGCAAGAAGGCAGCCAAGCACAAGGCAGCTGAGGTGGCCCTCAAACACCTCAAAGGGGGGAGCATGCTGGAGCCGGCCCTGGAGGACAGCAGGTGAGGGAGGAACAGCCGAGGCTTCCTAGAGGCCCTGCCAGGAACCCAGGCCCCTGCGCCACCTCCTCTGCCCAGTAGGCCTGGCCTGGTGACACTTAGCCACCTTGACCTGGCCCCTTCCTGAGAGTTTCCTCTGGACAGAGCAGGATGCTGCCAGGGCTTCTGCTGCTGTGAAGGACCCTTTGGGGGGAATGTCAAGGGGCTGTGGCTGTGGTTTGGGCCCGGCTAGGGAGGGAAAGGGGTGGAGGCTGAGGCTAGAGGGGTTGCACCCCAACATGCCTCCTCTCTCTAGCAGGTTGTCCTTCCCTCTTCCACACCTACATTGGAGGTTTTTTGCCTCCCCGTGTTTCTTGGGTAGGAAGAGACCCTCCTTCCCCTTTTCTTAGTCTTCTTGATCCAGTGTTTGGCAGCAAAGTCTCCGAGGAGGAAAAGCTGGTGGTTAAGCTTCCCTGAGTCTTTGGCTCCAGCGGGAAGGAATTTTCTTAGGGAATGGGCAGGTCAGGAGGACCTGGGTCCCCACCCTCTACTCCCCCCACCCCCAACATGGGTGTGAATCAAAGGCCCCCTTCCCCTCGGGAAGTTCTTTTTCTCCCCTAGACTCTTCACTGCCTGAGGACATTCCAGTTTTTCCTGCTGCAGCGGCTGCTACTCCTGTTACATCTGCTGTTCCAACCAGGTATCTTGTATTTCCTGCTGGCCTGAAGGGGGGAGGAAGGGGTCCTGGCTCCTGGTCCCCCAGCCCTTGGCCCCAGCTGGTCAGGCAGGAGGAAGTCTGAGAGTAAACAGAGGATGGAATAGTTGGGGACCAGAATTTGAAGAATTTGCACCAATTGGTAAGCTCTTGGGACAGGAGGTAATTTATGACTTTTAAATAGCCACAGGGATGAGGTGTTTGACCATGTTCAAGGGTCTCGAAGGCCCCATTTTCTTCTGAATTGGTCACATGGTGGTCCTGTGTGTGCCTCCCATCAGGTGCTTCCAGGGACTGGATATACAGCCCCTCGCCCACTGTTCTGCCAAGGTGATGATCCGGTGTTCCAGAAAAATCTAAATGGGCCTGGGCCCTGGAAGAGACCTCACTTGGGTGGGAAAGGGAGGAAGCAGGCTGGATGTTTGGAGAGACAGCTGCTTGCCTGGCAGACACTAGGGAGATGGTTGTGGGAACACCAGAGCAGAGCTTAGGACTCATGGAGAGCCACAAAGGGGATAGCCCCATCAGCTTTGGCCCTGGACCCTTTTTCCTTCAGGACCCCCCCCATGGAGGTGCAGCCCCCCGTCTCCCCTCAGCAGTCTGAGTGCAATCCTGTTGGCGCTCTGCAGGTGTGCCCCCATCCTCATTTCCTGTGCATGCCTGTCTTCCCTTGGACCTGGGGCTGTGAGGGATGGTTATGCAGGGGCTCTTCCCCGGTCTGAGGGCTTTTCCCACCCCCCTTCGTTCCTCCTCCCTGGAATCTGAGGCTCCCAGGGTAGGAGGGAGAGGATGTAAGGAGTCTTTTCTCACTCTGCCTTGTGCACCCTTGTTTCTCCTTCCCAAGGAGCTGGTGGTGCAGAAAGGCTGGCGGTTGCCCGAGTACACGGTGACCCAGGAGTCTGGGCCGGCCCACCGCAAAGAGTTTACCATGACCTGCCGAGTGGAACGTTTCATTGAGATTGGTAACTGGGCAGAGGGGAGTTCTTGAAGCTACTCCAGCCCTGGCCACAGGCAACTCCTAGCCTCTCTGTGCTACAGCCTCACTGTCCTGGCTGAGACCCCTGGCTCAGCTCCTTCTCCCAGCTGCTGCTTTGTCCTGGCCTCCCCCGACCCTCTCTGGCTGACCAGGTTCTTAGGTGCATGGCAGGGCCCAAGCTCCTCTTTCCAGTTGACATCCCACAGGGGACCCCAAGCTTGAGCTGGGTGGAAAGCACTGGAAAGCCTGTTGGGAATCATAACCCAGCAACCCTCTCCCCACACGCAGGCAGTGGCACCTCCAAAAAGCTGGCAAAGCGTAATGCAGCGGCCAAAATGCTGCTTCGAGTGCACACGGTGCCTCTGGATGCCCGGGATGGGAATGAGGCAGAGCCCGATGACGATCACTTCTCCATTGTAAGTGGCTTGTGTGGGCCAGGCCCTGTGGTCCATCCTCCATGCCAGGCAGGACACTGGGGACTTGGGCCTGTCACCGGGGGGTGAGCCTCTCTGGATCCCAGGCCAGCTCCTGCCCATTTTTCTCCCAGACCTCCTTGGCTGTCCCCCTCCCCACAACCTCAGCTGTAGGCCTACCTGGCGAGTGCTGTGGGGAGGTGGCCCAGGGCTGGAGCCCTGGAGCCTGCACTTACTGGAATGAGGAAGGCTGCCTGGACACCTGGCCCAGACTCCAGTAGTTAGAGGGGGCCAACTCGGGGAAGGCTGGCTGGATGAAGCATTCCTTTTGTGGGTTTTTCTCTCCTTGGCATCGAATGTCCTGTTAAATGCCTGGGTCTCAGTTCATGGCCGCATCTTTCTCACTGTTGCCATCTTGTCAGGGTGTGGGCTCCCGCCTGGATGGACTTCGGAACCGGGGTCCAGGCTGCACCTGGGATTCTTTGCGGAATTCAGTGGGAGAGAAGATCCTGTCCCTCCGCAGCTGCTCCTTGGGCGCTTTAGGTGCTCTGGGCCCTGCCTGCTGCAGTGTCCTTAGTGAGCTGTCTGAGGAGCAGGCCTTCCATGTCAGCTACCTGGATATTGGTATGGCTAGTTGGGAGGCCAGGGGATGGTGGGGACTGAGCCGGAGCAAGTATGGACGGACCCACAGGGGGTTGGGGAGGGCATGACCACGAGGATGCGGATACCCCCCTCCCCGTGCTGCCTTCCCACCCAACATCACCTCCATCCTCTCTTTCGGTCTCCAGAGGAACTGAGCCTGAGCGGGCTCTGCCAGTGCCTGGTGGAGCTGTCCACGCAGCCAGCGACTGTGTGTCACGGCTCCGCGACGACCAGAGAGGCAGCTCGTGGGGAGGCTGCTCGCCGGGCCCTGCAGTACCTCAAGATCATGGCGGGTAGCAAGTAAAGCCCCAGCCGGACTCGGACACGCCTCCTGGCTCCCTGCTCTTCTTCCCCCAGCCCGCGCGTCTGTTCAGCTCTGGTGCCCCCCTACCCCGGAGGTGCCGTCTCTACCTCTGACACAGACTGCCTGCCTGCAGGCTGAGGAGGACACTGGGCCAGCAGCCAGGGACCACGGGGCCTTGGCTGGCCCAAGATCTGTCCTCATGGCACTGGTGATGATGAGTGGGAATGAAATCTGGGGGCTCTCCCTGAGAGCCTGGAATAAATGTGCTGCCTCTTGGATTCTTAAACCCCGCTCTTTCTGTTCCCCTGCCTAGGGCTGACAGCAGAGGAGGTTAGCACCAGGGTACCCTGTTGTGCCTCCCCAACTTGTTCTGGTGGCAGGAGGCCCCATCACCTGTGTTCCTGCAGAGCTTGGTTTGACAGAGATGGAGGGGCTGTGGCCCTGGCCCTGGGGCTCTCTTCCTGCCCTTTCAAGTCTCAGACGGACAGACACATGGATTCAGAAGCCACAGCTTTATTAGGGGAGGAGGGGAGGCCTGGCCCTTGTAGTTGGGAGCTTTGCATGCATACATATCAAGGGATGACAGGTCACTTCTTCCCAAAGCGCTGAGGGGCAGCCAGACTCCAGAAGGGGGAGCTGAGCCCCTCCCTGGCTTGGGGACTCAGCTGTTCGCTGCTCCAGGAGCCCCGGGCGTTTCTGCCAAACCTTGGGAGAGATTCATCTTCAACTGTAGGTCCTTTCAGCCCCTCCTCCTCCAGCCCCCACCCTCCTGTTTGGCTCAGGCCTGGACCTTGTCTCTCTCAGACTCACCTCTGGGGCTGGAACAGAAAGGCTGGGCTCCGGCCAGGTCTCTGCATGGCCTGGAGCAGGGAGCGCAAGAGTGACCCAGGGGTCTGGACCTCCTGCAGTGGGTAGGCTCCGCTGTCTTCCTCCTGTGGTACAGGGGCATTGGGGAGGGAAGATGGGCAAAGGCCGTGGACATTTTAGGTCACACGGGGAAAGGAGTGACTCAGAGGCACGTTGTAGGAGGCTGAGGACCCACTGAAGACCCTGGCAGCCAGAGTATTTGAACTGAGAGCACAAGTCTCAAGTGGAGATAGAAAAATGGTGACAGTGGGGGAGCAGGGGGAGGTGCCTAGGTGACACAGTCCGTTAAGTGGCCCACTCTTGATTTTGGCTCAGGTCGTGATCTCAGGGTTGTGGGATCAAGCCCCCCATCGGGCTCTGCATCGTGTGGAGCCTGCTGGAGATTCTCTCCCTGCCCTCTGCCCCTCTTCTCACTCGCCTTCTCGCCAAATAAAATCTTTTAAAAAATAAAAACAAAGAAAAATCGTGACATGGGGCTGGGGCAGTAACTTACCATGAAGATCTGGTCTTCACCTCCGTCGCCTGGTCCTCCAGCACAGCCTCCGTCTGTTAGTAGCAGCACCATCAGCAGCACTGCGGCCCGCCTGGGCTCCATGCTGCCATCTGCCTTCCTGGAGCCATACCCGCTTCTTATACCTGCGGTGGCCCGGCCCCCCACCCCGCGGTAGCCTGAGGGGCAGTCTAGAGCGGGCGAGGGAAATGCATCGCTCAATGAGGAGCCGCCTGGGAGCCCCTCCCACGGCACCTCTGGGACTTCCTGCTCCCAGCCTCGGGCCCCCAGCCCCTAAGGCTGGAGTTACAGACTTTATTAGATGCATAAATTCTGTCTCCAAAGCTCAAGAAGCATCATTAATTGCAGATGCTTTGTCAGAGCCAGGCCCTAGGGGGCCTTCAAGAACCCCCAATTCCTCAACAGTTTCGAGAGTTCCAATCGATCACCTCCTCGCTTTCCTAACTTGAGAGTAAAAGCATGAAGTCTTGTCAAGAAGGTCTAGGCACCATGTCTTGGAACAGAGGAAAGGAGGGAAGAGCCAGGGTTAGAGTGAGCCAGGATGACCCAGCCTGGTCCCTCTTGTGACTATGGCTGCCGCGGGGTCATCCAGCCCCTTCATCCCCTTGCCTATGTGCCCTTTGGGGGGATAAAAATGGAGACACTCCTCTGACATTTGCCTGTGGATAGGAAAGTGGGATACAGAAGGAGACTAAAAGGTTTCAGAGTCCACAGAAAGTGGGGATTGCTCCCCATCATGGACACAAGCCCCATGCTCACGGGGGAGCCCCACTCAGGCTCTGCCTCACCTGGGCGTCTGCCGCCATCCTTTACAGCTGAAGCACTCTGCTGCCACCCTGTGGCCACAGCTTGACACTGTCAGGGCCGGCCATTTCCTGTCTCTGCTCTTTGAGGGGTGAGGCTACGTAGATGGAGGTTCCTACCGCCCTGACTCTAAGGGGTCCCCGAAAGGCAGGGGCAGGATACTAGGGTTGGTATCTGGTTTTGTTCACCTCCTTCTAGTCACCCCAGCCTCTGCCTGGCTCCGACCTGTGAGGGCAGGCGACAAGAATCCTGCCTTTTTAGGCAAAAATCGTTTTTCCTCAGGAGTCCTTTAAAGTCATCTGGTTCACTTTTCCTTCTGACCTTAGAATCCCTTCCTGAGCATCAGTGCCTGGCCTCCCGACCCCAGTGTGGTTCTCCAGCCTATCTATGCTGCAGAGCGGCCATGGTGCCAAGAGCCTGTGCATCAGTCTTGGGCAAGCAAGCTCTCTAAACTGCAGTTTCTTCACCTAAAACATGGCAACATTGAAAGGAACTACTTTCTAGGGTGGGCATTATTTGAGATAATTCCTGTAATCCACCCAGCACAGGATCTAGCACAGAGCAAGTGTCCTCAAAAGCGTTAGCAGTGCTGCCCCTGCATACACAAGTCCCAGTGAACTTGTCTCCTGAGACAGTGATCAAGCAGGCTTACCTGAGAACCAAGCTGGCTCCCATGAAGTTATAGAACACTGCACATCTTTCATGTGTGTAAGCTTTCCATGTATCTGAAGACAGATATCCCCCTTCCACTCTGCAGTCTTAAGGGGATCCCCCCTGCTCCCTTTAAAGCAAGGCATCTAGAAACCAATTCATAATTTTGGGGAGGTAGAATAGAGCAGGTTCATCTGGATGTTTTAGATACTAATTCGGCCTAAGCTAGGGTGAACCCTTCTGTATGCTTTGTTCCCCAGCTGGTCCCAAGCACAGAACCTGGCGGTCCTCATCACTACATTCTGGAATTTCACTGCTTCTTAAAAGGGACGATCCAGTCCATGGGTTTTTCTGTGGGAAATGGATCCTATGCCACATCAAGGTCCTTCTCTGTTCTTCCCTGACAGCAGTCCCGAGGAGCAGGGCTGTGAGCGGGTGTGGGCCTCGGGACTGCACAGAATGGCTCTGGGCTCGGAGTGGTTTTCACCCCAGCTCCGGCACTTTACTGTGCGCCTTGGCAAATGTCTTAACTGAAACCTTAGTTCATCTTAAATGAGGCAACTACTCCTGTTATTAACAGGTTGTTGCGAAAAGTGAATGACTTACTGAATACAAAGTGTCTTGTGTTCCATCTAGCATAGAGCAGCTAATAAATGTTCACAACCCTGACTCTCCTAGTATCCCTGATCATCAATTACAAGTGGACCTGAGCTGAGGCTCAATTCAGCAAGGGTCCGGTCTAGCTAACTTCCTATGTCCAGGAGGGAGGGGACTGCTCTCTCCCTTGGCAGGCATAGGCACATCTTGGAGATACTGCTGGTTCAGTTCCAGACCACTACAATAAAGCAAGTAACGCACTGGGAGTCAAATGAATTTTGTTTCCCAGTGCATATAAAAGTTATGTTTACACTACACTGCAGCCTATTAAGTGTGCAATAGCATTATATCTGAAAAACAAAACAATGTGTATGCCTTAATTTAAAAATTTGCTTAGGGGTGCCTGTGTGGCTAAGTCTTGGTTAATTAAGCATCTGCCTTTGGCTCAGGTCATGATTCGGGTGTCCTGCAATGGAGTCCCACCCACATCCGGCTCCCTGCTCAGTGGGGAGTCTGCTTCTTCTTCTCTAACCCTCCCCCCACGCCACCTGTGCTCTCTCTCACTTGCACTCTAATAAAATCTTAAAATAAAATATTGCTTAAATATGATTGTTATTTAAAAAATTTTTTTCAAGTAAGCTCCACACCCAACGTGGAGTTTGAACTCAGGCTGAGTTCAAGAGTCGAGACCCTGAGATCGAGAGTCCCACACTCTACTGACTGAGCCAGCCAGGCGCCCTGTAAGTCAGTCTTTCGCTGGTGGAGGGTCTGGTCTTGATGTTGCTCACTGCTAGACTGGTGGTTGCTGAAGGGTGGGGTGGCTGTGGCAATTTCTTTAAATTGACAATGAAGTTTGCTACATCGATTGGCTCTTCCTTTCACAAACGATTTCTCTGTAGTATGTGATACTGTTTGACAGTTTTTACCCATAGAATTTTCAAAACTGAGCCAAACCTCTCACACTCAGCTGCTGCTTTATCAAGTAAGTTCCTGTAATATTCTATTTAAAAAAAAATTTTTTTTTTAAAGATTTTAAGTCATCTCTATACCCGGTGTGAGGCTGGAACTCACAGCTATGAGATCAACAGTCGTGTGCTCTTCTGACTGAGCCAGCCAGGCATCCCTGTAATATTCTAAGTCCTTTGTCATTCCTACAAGTCTTCACATTCCATCTCAAGAAACCACTTTCTTTGCTCATCCACAAAAAGCAACTCAATTGTTCAACTTTTATCATGAGGCTGCGCCAATTCGGTCAGTCCCACCTTCAGGCTCTACTTCAAAGTCTAGTTCTCTTGCTATTTCCACAACTATAGTTACTTCCTCCACTAAAGTCTTGTACCTTCAATTTGTAAAAACAAAGAACAATACCCCAAAACCAACCAACCACACACACAAACATGCAGAGTCTTTAAAGTGTGATAAAGTGAAGTGCAAGAAAACAAAAAGGCCTGTAGGGGCAATGGCTTAATTCTTCTAGAACTTGGGAAACTGCCCTACCTTCGGTCTCCTTTCAAAACGTCTCAATCTTGGCTTTGGTATTTGGCTCTCAGCAACTTACTTTCTTACCCTTCTCTGTAACCCCATGTGCTCCTGACCACAACACAGGGAAGATCACCACTACCTTTCCACTCTCCTCTGGAGACACAGTCTCCCTGCTTGTGTCGATTATTCCAAACACCAACCACAAACAGCTTCCGTTATCACTCCTCTTCTACTGGGAGATCCTCAGAGGCACCTGCTACCTCCTGGTCAAGTTTTTCAGCCTGGCTCACTCTTCTCACCTGTGCTAATTATCTAGGGATATACAGATTGCCCTATCCCTCACCATAGTTCCTGACCATTACTTGTTCTCCTTGTGACTTTTACCCCTTTCCAAACAAGCTCCACCCCTCATTTCCAAAACGAGCTCTTCCCCACATCCACAGAACTGATAGAATCTGTGGAAAGCTTCCCTTTCTATGTGTGCGCTCCCCCAGTCATGTCAAAACTTCCTGAGAGTAGGGTTTGTTTTTGTTTTTATTGTTGGGAAGAAGGGGACAAAACACTGAAAGGGAAGAGGACGCTTGCCTTCACACACCCTACCATCCCCTATCCACATAAAGCCCATGAGTTTAGCCATGAGGTTCCCATGATGCCAAGGACCCTGTCCCCAGGGTAGTGCACAGATCTGACCCCTAGTCTCAGTACCTTCTTTCGTGTTCTATAATTTATATGAACCACCTACCTTCTTTAGGCTGTGTCTTCCCTGCATAAAAAAGAGGGATAAGAATCCCTGCTCCTTCTGTCCTCAGATATAGGAGAGTGAGGAAGAGCAAAAACATGAAAGCCCGATGAATTCCCAGCAAGAGTGGCCAACGGGACTCGAAGATGGGAGTACTGAAGCATTAGACAGAACAGTGGTTCTCTCGATAGTTTAATGTTATATTTGCAGCATAAATAAGGCACAATATATGTCAGGGCGAGGGGGAGCAGGAGAAGGCATGGCGGGGGGCGGGGGGGGGGTAACTGCTGGGGGGGAAGGGGGATAGGAGAGGGGAGGGGGAGGGAGAATAGAGTGAAGCCTCTGCCTCAGCCTGTCCCAGGAGATTGTGAGAGCCCGCTCACAGGGATCATGCTGAGTTGGGTGGCAGGGAAAGGGGACAAGACAGTTTTGTAACAAAACAGCCTGTAGCACTACATCCTCCCACATGTCAAAGTACACCACTGGGGACTGGGGGAGACCCAGACCCAGAGTCGAGCTCTTGGTGAGATGGAGAGGTGCTGCTACATGTCGAAGATATACAGATGAAGAGAGCTATAACCATAGATACACATGGCTTGCTTTCAACAGATACTATGTCCGGAGGCGGCAGCCTCCACTGTTGGGGCTGGAGGCTCATCTCCCTGCCGGAAAGGGGTGTGTAGGTGTGCGTGTGTGTGTGTGTGTGTGTGTGTGTGTGTGTGTGTACAGGACAGCTAGAGCTCCAGCTGGACCTTCCTGTAACAAAGAATGTGGAGTAACCAGTCTGCAAGGGAATATGGGACAATTCTTGTCCAGACCAAGGCAGGACAGGTTTGAGGAGGAAGTAGAAGGAAGACAAACCTAGATTTTGAGATGAATGACGTGGTTGTTGTTCTAATGGGGGTGGAGAGAGGGACGGGAGGAAATGGAAAAATGTGTTAGTGCTAAGGCAGAGGATGGTACTTAAAATATCCTGACACCCTACAAGGATGTCCCAGCTTGCCTCTAAGGCAATGGTTCTCACACGTTAGTGTGCACTAGAATCACAGGGAGTGCTTGTTAGAGTCCAGCCCAAGTTCCCAATTCAATAGGTCTGTGGTGGGGCCCAAATGTGGTGTCTAACAAGCTCCCAGATGCTGGTGCTACTGATGCTCCTGGTCCTGGATTACATCCTGAGAACCACCACACAAGGGAAAGTCAATAAAACTAGTGCTCATAGCCATTTCTTACAGCTAAAATTGCACTCACCAGTAGCTAGTGGTGGTGAGATACCAGCCCGCCATTAAGAAAATAAAATCAACCCTAGCAGCTACAGCACAAACCTGCATTTACAGAGGACATAGCTGCCTTCACCTGCCCTACTCTCCCCAGCCTCTTCTCAATCTGGATAGCATTTTGCCCCAAAGAGCAACGAATGACCTGCTAACAGAGGGTGGGAATGGTGGCCAGCAGCTGATGCTCATTCCTGCTGGGTTACCACTCAGGGGGCTTGGGTGGGGATTTATGTCTCTGTGTACATGCATGTGTGCAAACACGAACAGACAGAAATCAGTTCCATACTATGAGTGGGATGATTAGGGTTGTGGGAGGCTGAAGTAGGATGGGGGCTCCTCTAATCTGCCTTAGGATCCTCACCTGTCCTGTTCCTCCCTCTGCCCCTGTCAAACAAAAGTCTAAAGAAAGCAGAAAGAGCATATCAACAAAGGCATACGTGATATAACTAGGAGGACTGGATTCTAAATGGACTGGTTATGAAATTAAAGAAAAAAAAAAAGGAATACATTTCCTTCCTGTGTATACAATGTACAATATTAATGAAAAATAATGATTTGGGGATGGGAAGGAAGTCATGAGAGAAAGGGGGAGGTTTTGGGGAAAGGGTGGTCTCAGGGCTAGCACCTTTAAAGGAGCCTCTCAGTGTGGAGCAGGGGAGCCTCAGAAACCAAAGGAGGAATATTTTGGTATCTGCTTGGTGGTTCAGGCTACAGACAGGGCATGGTTATGGCTAAGTACCCCGTCAACCAGGATGGGTGGTGCCAGAGGGCAGTGAATCAGGAGAGGAGCCAAGTATAACAGAACAGGCACAGGGAAGGCAGCAAGGTGAATGAGGTTCAGTGAGGACATCTCCTTGTTTACCACTACCAGGAGTATATGGTCTAGTGCTTAGGGCCAAAGAGAGGCGTGGAGGCTGAAAGAAGCCAGATTTGGGGTGTACAACCAACAGGGAAAGAGTAAGTAAGGGAGGGCCTATTTTTCTAGCTCTCTCTAGCTGTGAGGGAAGCTTTCCCAGACTTTTCAACTCTGAGCAAGCTGAAAGGAAAAGGGCAAAAGTCTGCAGAGCAGAATACCTACATTTCTCTATGGTCTTGGTTATCTACCAGCTGTGTCTCTGGGGTGAGGTGGGAGGCCTGACTCTTGTGTTCACTCAGAAGAGTCCCAAGGCATCCATACTCCCAGCTCCTTTCAGAAAGTGTCTTTCCGTAGGCCCCTAGAAAGGCCATGGTCATTAGGAAGGGCTAAGTGACATCCTCCATGATGTTTGGTTCTGGTCCAGATGAGTCAGGAAAGCAAAGGGCAGGGAGAGTGGCCACAAGGCTGGCAGCAATGACAAGATAAGTGACATTCCCCTTAACTATGACAGTCTCAGGATAAGCAACTGCTCTGTCTTCTTAGTGAGGCCACCAACCAACTAAAGAGCTATCTGGGAGGTTCTGTCCTGCCCCTTCCCTTCCTACTGCTTTACTACTAAGGTTCTGGCAAAGCCCCTTATTTAGGTCCCCAGGAACTTCCTACCAATGAAAATGAAATAAGGACTCAAGAGAATGAGACATGGGGACTAAGAAACTAAATAAGACCCTCTAAATAAATTAGCTTTCCTACACAGGGACAGACAGCTAGGACTCAAACTTCCTCCAAGGCCAAGCAGTAAGGCAGGGCATGTGTGCAGTGACAAACGGATTCTTCACCTGAAAAACACTTGACTAAAGGGGGACGGAAAATAGTCATGGGTCTTATGAAGGCTCCTTGGGAGCCGTAAACTCAGTCAAGCTTTAGGGCAAGGCTCCTGGTAGGAAATCAAGAAAATAAAAAATG